CATGGATACCATTTAAAGACCAACTCAGGCTAAAAAAAAAAGCGGTAACCTGGTTGCCGAGTTCACGAAGTGAATTGGCTTGTTTTACAACGGCGTTGCCAATGGACGAAAACCCAATCCCGATGACAAACACCGGGGGGGGCCACTGGGGGGGGGGGTGGGGCACTATAAAAAAACAACACTAGAAACCCCAGTATTCCCCCCAAACCCAAGAGCTAACCCCCGTCTACTCAAGGATCCATGTCGCATCCCCCTATACTCAGACCAGTATATAGTGACCCCACACTCAAAACAAGACACTTAGGGGTCCCACACTAAAACCAAGACACTTGCGGGGCAAACCAAAATTCTCAAAAATAATTCTTAATAATGGGCCAAAATGGGCAAAATTGGCATATTTTGACTTCATTTTAGTATAAACAACCGGCTTTTTTTTTTTTTGCATCAGCTATGTTGAGATTTCAGCTTTTCAACGAACCTAACTATAGGATGATCGGGAAAGTATAAGTGCGCAAACAATCACACGCCCATAACTCCCCAGACTTATGGGACAGAGGAAATGTATTTAATATCGACCACAGTAAATATGGAGTGTTTAAGATCGACCGCTCTAACTGGCTGACCAATGAAAAGACGTTCGTGTGTGTTCCTACCTTCTTCGTGGGAAAGGCATCCGATGCGTTGGGTGTGGTGTGAGCACCTACGTCAGTCAAAGTTGCAGCAGCAGCAGCAGCAGCAGTCGTGCCTCGCTTGCTATTGGCGCTGCGGGTAGTTTTTACGCACGGGGTACACTTTTTCCACTTTTTTGCTTCTTGGGATGCCTCTTGTGCCTTTTTTTCCTGAGGCCCAGCCCAACTCCTTTGTCCGGATTCCGCTTCTTTTTTTGTGACGTTTGGTCGCAGGTGGCCACTGCGGCAAAGACTCAGGAACAGGGATCAGCACCACCGCAGGTGAGCGCGCGAGAGGTTGGATCGACAGCTGTAATAGGTGGCATGCCAGGGAGGAGAAGGGAGGATGGGATGGAGAGGTGGGATTGATTGCAGGAATTCGCGCACCAGGGTTCGAAATTTATTACATTTTGAACTGCGGCAGCGCCGCCTCTTTTTCCCAGGACAGCAGTAGCGGCTACGGTGTAACATAATATGTTTAACAAAGGTGAACTGGCTTGTCACGGCCAATATCGGTTTAACAGAAAGTTTGTCTTATTTTTGAGATTTTCTGTAAAATCGAGCTTCTGGAGGCCGCGCCACGTAGGAGTGGTTCGTCCAGTGGGTGATTGGGTGGATTTTCTCTTTGATGCTGGAGCATCCGTGGGCTCGTGTTGTAGTTCCACAAGAGCTGCGAGTAGCAGCACATCTATGTATAACAAGGCAACAAAACTACAGAGGTCTGACGCGTGATTTGTTTCCCAGCACTTTCTACTAAGAGCGTACAACTGGTCCATATTGCTCGCTAACCAACAGATGAAGCGGTGTGTGGAGCTAGCCCAAGGGGCAGACGCTACCTGCGTTATGTGACATGAATGATACGCTCTCCATCAACTCTTGCGGCATATACTGCTGTTGTTGGGACGACTGGGTCCATGTTTCACGACCTTCCGTTTTGGCTACGGTATGGTTTTAACATTATTTTATGTTTTACATAACATCATGTTATATCGTTGCCAAAACAGTTCAACAGAAGTGCCGATTTAACAGAGGGATTTTGGCTTGTCACGACCCTATGTTATACCGTAGCCGCTGCTGGACCAGAGGGTTCTGGTATTTTCGAGGGCTGCGTCCATCGCATAGCCCCGCCGTCCTCCTACACCCTGTTGTGGGATGGGTCCTCAACCCCCCCCCCGCGCCTATGAAAGTGTGTTCATCTTGAGTTCGACATGCATCTGAGTACCGGTCACACTGCATGGAAGTTGAGCTTGGGCATGTTGCCCCCACCCTCTCTCTCGCAACAGCATCCCCGCCCTCTCTTTGATCCGTACAACGTTTTGCTCTTTGCAACCGAGAGCTCTAGCGGGTATTCCTTTTGCCTTCATGATCCGATTGTTTGGCAGCAACGGGCTGGCTTCGCCGAACGCAGCTGCTCTCTGCTCCCGCTTTGTGCCTATAGCTGCTGTTGGCAATCTCCTCCCCTCCCCTGCTACTTTGTTCGCTGCAGAGGCCGGGTATTGGGCGTGAGGGTTCTCTGGCCGAGCTGGAGAGCTCGTTCAACAAGCGGATTATGCTGGGAGAGATCACGGCGGACGCGATCGAGGAGGAGCCGCGAGTCCCCTCGGTGGGGTTGGCCCGAGAGGACTCTCTGGCGCAGCTAGAATCATCCTTCCACAAGCAGGTCGGTGTTGGTGCTGGTGTTGGTGCTGTTTCACTGGGTGGCGGGACGTTCACTCCCTATTGATAGCAGCCGATCCGTGTATAGGACGTGCTTCCATTATAACAGTTGACGTGCACGGAGCCCATGCGTATTTGAGCCTAAGTCACAGGGGACTCCGTATCTCTTTAATCACCAGACCACACACATACCAACCCCCATTTTTAAGGCTACCGTGTATCATACCGAACGCCGGGTATGTAGCCCAAACAGGTTCTCTTTGTGTTACATGTCTTGTGTTCTTGCTTCGTATAGCCGATTGATCTATCTCTGTACAGACAAGCGGACACCTGAGATGCTGGTGATGGTATTCGGCGTTACGTGTGCATGGTTTTGGCGATCTTGGCTCTTGGTTTCTGCTCTTGTCTGATCCTGGGGTGCACTTCTAACTTTTTTCTCCACATTTGAGTTTGTGAACTCTCATCTAGTCGTGGCACTTTTTTTTTTTTCCCTTGCGCGCACAGATAAATTCCGGCAATATTCCGGCGGCAATCGTGGAGGGGCCCGCCGGGATCGAGAGCGCCCCCCCCCCCGCCGTGGCGGCTGTGGGGCTAGCCGTCCCGGTTCGGAGGCGTTCCATCGCCGGAAATCACCCCGTTCCGTCCTCGCCTAGCACCACGGCACCATGGCCGACTTCTAGGTTAGCGAAGAGCGTGCATGTTGCCCTGGTGTTGTTGTTTCGCCCTCTGCCTGCGTTTACAGCTATTAGCTTGTCCCTTGCGACAGCGGACAGCGGTGCAATGATACCCTTAAAGCCGCGGTTTTATGGAGAAGCGGGCGGCGTTTTTGTTGTGTCTGCCTTCCCCGGAACCCCTCACGGAGTCTTCCATCTCGGCGACATGTCTCTGCCGTACTATCACCAGCCTTAGCGTTGCTACCCCACCCTACCCGCGCTTTGTTTTTTCGCTGGCATGACTCGTCATCTCTTGTCCCCCCTGGCATGCCCGTCATACACGCCATCGGAATAACCGTATACATGGCACCACCACCACCACCACCACCAGGGGGTCTTCTTTTTCGTCCGCCCACGGGCAAGGACAAGAGCCGGAAGTGGTAGTGGACAAGTTCCCCAAGAGGCGCATGTCCGTGGCGAGCTCGGGCAGCGGGAGCTTGAAGGGGATCCGCGCCGACAGCGTGCCGGGGCCGGGGGGGGGGCGCGGCGACGACGACGATTCCACGCTGCCGGCGTCGCCGGAGATGTTGACCATGACTTCGGAGATGGAGTTGCTAGATTCTGCGGGTTCGCTCGGGGTGGTGAGAAACGTTGGCGACAGCAGCACAGTAGTTGTTTGGTCGGGAAGGGGTTAGGGCACGGCGTGGGGGCGTGGGTGGACCTTGGGTGTGGGGGCCCGCGGCCGTGAAAGGGAAAGGGGGTCGATAGTGCTTGCTTGTTGAAGCTTTGCTGGCCAGAGTGCTTTTCTTTTGCTTCGCTCGTTTCTTGTGTGCGTGCACGTGCTGTTACTGCTGCTGCTCTCGTCTATCTATCTACACTCCCTTATCTGAAAAAATCCTCCCGATTACTTGATCCCTTGCCCCTCTCCGATCTCGCGATCGCCCTTTTCGCTGCTTTCCTCTAGTCTGTTGTCCCCGCGACACGATGCTTGTGGAAAATGTGACACACCTCGCTACCGCTGCTGCTGCTATGCGTTACGGTACAGGAACCCGTGATAACAAGTGCTGTGCCCAGAAGACGATCGATCACGGTTTCCCAGAGTTGGAAGGAAGCAGCTGCCCAGGTAAGGCTCGGTTCCCAGCCTTGTCGAGTTTTTCCCGCTTTCTTTACCCGTCATTTTGCTTTCCTCACTCACCCTGCCGCGAATGTAAAGAGGCGCGGACGCTATTGAACGTTTTGGCTTGTTTCCTTCGTTAGGTTGCCCGGCAATCATCTCGTTGTTCACATGTTTCGAAGGTCTGCAACGAACTTTGTTTACACTAGTTTTTCCGACGGGTGCCCACATAAACGGAAGACCAAGACGAGACAACCTCAGACTAAATTTTAAATTTTTTACCGTACGTAACGTAAGATATCACACCCCCTGGACCGATTTTTCAAGCTCGATTACTCCACGACGAAGAGGACGCAAGAATCAAGTGATGCGCTTTCGGAAAGCTCTCAACGAGAAGGTTACCAGTGAAGCCATTTTTGGCACGGTCACTGAGTTTTGTGCAAGAGTAATCGAGCTTTGACAGCTGGTTCAGGGGGTGTGGTATCTTACGCAATCAACGGTAGTCACTTGATCGGACGTTGTGGCTGGTAGTATGCCGGCATCATCCATGTGCCTATGGTTGTTCTGGGTTAGCGTTTTCCGCGAGAAAGAAGAAAGAAGCGGGGCGCCCGTGTGCGCGTACTGCGACGAACGACGCCCGTGACACTGCTGCTGCTGGTGCTCCGACGAGAAACATAACGCCTATGGCAGCTACAACTCCCCTCCAACCGTGAGGGGCAGAGGGGACCGAACAACACCTTTAGCTTGTCCTACATCACCGCCCTTGGTCTACCTCAAGATATGCGTTCAGTACGACCCCACACACCACAGGAGGAAACGTGGAAAGGCACGGGAGGGAGTGGAATGGGCACTCTTGTCACCACTTGATATCTACGTTTGTCAGGGTAGTCTCGCTGAGACTTGCGCCTGACAAGAAACGGCCTGGCCTTTGCTGGCCTGTTTGTCCACGCCGCTCCTCTTGGGCAATTTTGCTGAGTTTTTTCGTATGCATAGCCCCGCCGTTAATGATGAGTTTCCAATCACGCCAGAGTAGCGCATTGGAACAGTTGTTTGCCAGTATAGCTGTGTTTCCACCGCTCTTATGGTGGGGAGAGACTAATGCGAGGGCGAACCGTAGCAAACATTGTGTCCGGGCGTGAAGGGGCGGGGGGGATCAGTCTTTGCGCTGGGTGGTCGGCGGCAACGTCTGGTTGCGCAGGAATAACACGAGTGGCTCTTGCGTCCTCCTGTACCTTGGGTGCTGGTGGGTGCTGGTGGGCTGTGTTGTCACGATTGCTTGTATGACAAGTACAATATCGAGCGCCGCATCGTCCGGCGGGAGGGAGGGAGGGAGGGAGGGAGGGAGGGAGGGAGGGTGATTGCAGCAAGCAGGGGCGGAAGGAGGAATCGGGAGGGGGAGGGGGTAGCGGTGACGCTGTTCGTTGTCTGGGGAGTGTCGCTGCAGTCGGCGTGATGAGGCGCGCAGGAACCCCGGTGTCGAGGCGCCCTTACACGACGTCTCGGACACCCACCCATTGTTTTACGTTGTGCAAGGGAATTGGTTTGTTTGTCCCGGACCTGTGCCGTCGTGAATCATGTCAGGCGGGAAATTTTGTTATCAAGGTTTTGGGTGTGTTTTTGTTGAGTTGTATGATTGGAAGTGGGGCTCTGCTTTCCCAAAGGAGGACGAAAATACTGAGGTTGCATGCATACCATGGGTGACGTTGGCAGCACAGCATTTGAATTGATGCCTTGGCGTTTCGCAGATCAGGGAGTATATCTCGTGGGGGAAGACGGGGAGGAGGGAGAGAGGCTTGCCATTGGGTTGTTCTGAAAAACCTTGCGCATCAGAACTTGTAATGTTTGCGGGTCTTGTGGGAGGCGATTTGTTGCTACGTTTCGTATGGTGTTGTTTTTCTCGTTCGGGATGCGTTTCAGAGGACTAACGTTCCTGTCCTTGCAGTCTTGGCGGAAAACGGCTCGGGAGGCGTGTATCTACCTCGGCTGTGAGAACGATTGCGAGAGTGACGGCGATTTTTGCTTGGCTTGCCACAAAGAGACGGGGGTTGAGCATTGTTGTGCGTGTCTCGCTGGTACGTCCTGACCCGACTCGACTGTCGCGCGTACGAACGAATCGGCGTAAACATTCCCGCGACAGGAATCGGTCAAGGCGTTGGAAGCCGAGAGACTCGTGGAGGCGGAAGAAGCCGAGGTATTTTTTTGTTCCATGCCATACCATCTATTCTTTTTTTACCGCGGGATGCCGAGAGTTGTGCATTCCTTGGCTGTGCTTGTTTTTGAACGCAGGCCTTTGTTCGTGTTGTTCTGGGGGAGGGGTTTCACGCAATCGTCACGTTGCACGTGAGATTGCAGAAATCTCGTCTCTCCCGCGTTTATTGCGCGTTACTGCACCCAGGACTGCTGTGCGTTTTGTCCGGCTGTCAGAGAGTTCCAGCTATGTGTACGGTACGCGCAGCAGTAATGTTACTGCAACGCGTCATGCGGCATCGTTTAGATGCGTGCTGCTGTAGCGTGGGACAAGCAGCGCTGCCCACCACCAACCTCTCAGGTGCTACTCTCCGTCCGCCTTCCACCCCCCCCCCCCCCCACTCTCCTTTTTCCACTCCAAAGAAACGCCACCGCCTTTTAATGGCCCCCCCCCACCAAAACCACCCCTACTGGAACCCGAACCAGGGCCAAAGAAACCAA